ATGTCGTATGACCACCAAATTTTCAGAGAATGGTGTACTAGTGAAAATTTATCATATTTACAATTTTTATGTCGTTATGATGTAATATGACGTCATTATGACGTCATTAATGTGATTTTATTGGCCAAAACCGTCTAAATAGGTTTTTCCCTGGAAACTCAATGGTATTCAACATAACTGTACCAAAAGTGTTTATGACAGAATATTATCGTGTACTAAGTCTTATGTTGCCCATAGCAACACCGGTGACGTCATAACATGACGTCATGCATATTTAAGATATCCGCCATCTTGGATCATCAATCTTGAATTTTCAAAAATAGTTTTTTTTCATGATAAAGCCTAAAATACATCGTAGACATACTAAAGGCCTTCATTTCAACCTTTTTTGGAAAAAGAAATGGAAGTATTGATGAAATTTTAATGAAAATAACCTGTATATACCTGTTCTAATGACATGGTCCGCCATCTTGATTTTGGCCAATGACGTCATCAAATTAGCATAAATTATGCATATTTAATGATAAAAATTTACATAAAATTATATGGGGTGTTATTAATATTAGAAACCATGAGTAACTTGACATAAAACCCATAAAATTCTATTGTTGAAACAAAAAGCACTAAATTTAGCAAAAAATGCCTGTCAGAAACCCGTTGCCATGGCAACACAAAAAATTATTATCTTAATCCAATGATAGAGAATTGTTGCCAACAATATTCTAGGAAAAGTCACCAAGTTTGGCCGTTCTACGGCTAGCCGTTCAGACGCTAGGTGACATCAAATTTGCCGCGGGCACTTTTAGCCCCCCCGGTCTAGGTAGGGTTAAATTATGTGGTGGCTTTATATACTTCCCGGAGGTTTAGAATCTCAGATTTGTTTTGTTTGTTTCTTACAGCCAACAGTGAAGAAAAGGCGAATAGACAGCAGTTGATATCATATAGCAGCACCAGAACGGTTCAGACCAAGCTCAACTGGAACCAAGCAAGAACCATATCACAAAGCTATGGCATAATATTCTTGAATTAGACAGTATGTGAAATTGTAGAGTGGGGCAAGTAGTTGTATAGCAGCATTTGAACTGGAGCCAAGACAATGTTGCAAATCATTTTTTATTTTATTTTAAATCCTTTTTCCCCCCAGGTTTTACCACAAATGCTTACCAGATTCCTGTACTAAGTTGTTACGAAGGAGGTGTGCTTACATGAAGAGTTGTGGGAGAGACAATTATTAGTAAAGAAATAAAACTCAACCATTAGCATACAAAAGTTAAGTTCATGTGCAGGAAAGTATGATGTTTACCACCAAGTTTCTTCTTCAGTTTCCCACAGATAATGTAGTTTGTACTACAGGGACATTTCATGTTTATGCTAGTTATATTCATGTTGCAGTTTTGAACTAATATTGACAAACCATTACAGTGTATTGAAATATGTGAGAATCAAGATAATCAATTTTTTACTGCTAGCCTAAAGAAGCTGCAATGTTGATAGTATTGTAAAGTAAGTATGTATGAATATTACAGTAATGTTGATTTCTAGCATAGTACTTACTTTATTTGTCAGGGTTCAAAATACTGCCTGCATATGCAGGTAAGTACAGGTAATATTGGAGCGGTGAAATATGTCTGGCTGCACCTAACCTGTACCAATCCATGTACTGTAGGTGTATGTGGATTTCTATTTTCTGCATTGATATTGACTGTTACAACCTATGAAGTACATAAAAGAAAAATGGCAATGGAACAGTTTTTAGTATAATCCACACTTCCTAAATTCTGAGTAGTGTAGGTGAAATTTGTAGGGTCCACAAGTATGCAGAAGAAAGTATTTCAAGCCCCTAATGTGGCACGGTATAGTATATTATGATACCAGTATAGATTATAATTTTTATCAAGTTGTTCAGTTTGTGTTTTCAAAAAGACATTTCTATAAGGTTGTGTTTTGAAACATTTCTAGTTACAATGGTTGCATTCTGTTTATGTACTTTTAAGGCAAGGCCATGTTGATTTTATTTTATGGAATGACATCAGCGTGCATGAATTTTCGTCCATTCCCCCCCCCCCAAAAAAAAGGTTTTTGACCATACTGTAAATCGTACAAAGTAGCTGCAAAATGAGCAAATACATGCATAAATTGAAAAAAAATATTGGAAAATGATACTTAGGTTGCCGAATGCCAAAATCCATTCCAAAGGACAAGAAGAAAATGTGCCAATAAAATATGTGTGTTTAGTAATTTAGTAAAAATTAAATTAGTAAATGGCAACTTTTTTTATTTGCATGCTTGCACCGGTTTTGGGGTTCCCAGAGGATGTCATCCATGTACAATGTAATCAAATCACCATAGCCTAATGTAAGAATTCAAAATTAACAAATATTTTTGCAAGGCATGTTTATGATTACTTTTCTTTTTTGAATTATAACAATTTATACCTTTCTTGTGAATTTAAGATATGACCATATTTTACATGCAAGGAGGTTATATTTATAGGGTGATGTAACTTATGTGCCACAAACTTTTCTTGGTAAATAAAGGAATCAGACTGTAGGATGATGCTGTTTTCATTTAAATGCTGTCAGAAGTCTTCACCTTTTTGCATTATTCAGAAACACACGGACATGCACACTTCACTCTTGAAGTGTGATGAAAATGTACTGACTTTCTGCTATGCAGTTCTACTGTAAATTGTAAATTCGATGATAAGCTATACATCAAATAAAAGTTAAGGTTTCCAGAATCACACATTCTCAAGATGTTTTATTTACTTTTAAATACTTATAGTGCCTTTACAAACTTGCCTATCAAGGTCCATGATTGCATGTAGAGCAACCATGTTCTGTGGTAGAACGAGCGATGTGCCGTCTTTATAATAGAGTGAACAATTTCTGTTGCTGTATATTCAACAATTAAATCTAAGGTAAATTTAAGGTAAGACTTTTGGGCAATCAGCATGTAAGTCTTTTAAAATTGTGTTGTGGGTTGGCATTTGACGGTTGCTGGATTTTAGGAAAGCACTGGATCTAGATGTTGTCCTTGGTACTGAAGCGCCGGCTAGCAGATTGCTGTAGTACAACAGGTGATGACTTCACTGGCTGTAGAGGGATGCCCTTATTCTAGCTATGTATTTGTTCCTGCCAGTTGTTTTAGTCTCTCAAACAAAAGATCATGTTGTTCCTCAGCTGCCTTAAGTAATTCCTGTAAGGTTAAAAGAAATATTGTTGGGTGATATGTAAATATCAAGTATCAATAATACATCATCTAGGTTTAAAGTGAGGTACCATTATAAGATGCATGGTAAAACAAACACCTGTGTTCTTGATAATTATTTTCATAAAAAAAACTGCTCCAAGTGCAGCTTTCAACAAAATTCAAAATACATCTATGGTCACATACCTTTCACTAATCATAAGTAAACAAGTTTTTACTAGAAGTAATTTCTAACACTTCAAAATATCTTAAGACTTCAAAACATTCCAAAAGATAGTAATACAGTCTTACCGATACTTTCAATGCATCATCCTTGGCCAGGAGGATCTTTAAGAGGTACAGTCTTGCTACTGAGATGCTCAGGTCATCTTCTACTGACTTCTTAAACAGGAGGCGTTCTAGTGTCTTCTTGGATTGTCTGGTGGAAGAAATGTAGAATGAGCAATCTTAAAAGAAAACACTAAGGGATGAGATTCAAATGTTAACAGAAATAGATTTGCAGTGACAACAATTTTACAAAAAATTAAGCATTTTCACATGACAATCATTTTTCCCTGCTTCTCATCAATAGTATACTGGCCAATGTTCTTACTTGATATTGTTCAAAGAGAAGTACAGAGCCCCCTGTAGAAGATGAGCAGTACTGCACCAGGGGTCTATCTTCAGTGCCTCCCCAGTGGCTTCCAGTGCCAAGGACTTCCATCTCTCCACATCTGCATCTTTGGTCTGGTAGCAAGCAAAATGAAACAGACACCGCATCATATGGCATACTAGAATAGTGCTGGGTACTGTTAATCACTCGTTCTCATTCAAATGTACAAAATGCTGTCGCCACTCTTTACGACTAGATATGAGCCAAATCATGGACCTCATCGTTGCTTCCTTCACTTTCCCACTACACTTACTATGTTTCACGAAAAATGTACCACAAAACTAGGTTTGATTGATGACTTCAGAGAAATTATGGTCGCGGGTTGGATTTCTCCCCCTAAAAAGCGGCTGTCGCCTGAGACGAAATAGAAACTTTAAAAAGCAACCTAAAACGTAGAAATTTGATTACGGCAGTAGTTTTCTGCCTGGTGAAGTCGGGTGGCCAGGCCCTCTGACTGATCAAGTCAGATCGCTTCTGTCACTATTTTTGTACGTTGTGCGAGGTGTTTCATACCTGTCGCCAAGTTCTGTAACATCCGTTACCGCTCAAGTAAGACGGTCGTGCAGTTTAGATAGAGTCACATATAAGACAAGAAATTGCCATTTTAAAGACTTTTAGCAAGTTTTCTAGGTTTCTAAGATAAGAAGAAAAGAGTGTTTGCTGTCATTTGTAGCCACCTTCGCTGAACAAATTGTTTTACAATAATGAATGTAACATCCGTTACCGTTGTTTTTACTTTCCATTTTAGTTTCTTCACCTGGTATATAAAAAGTCGCACAGTTTTAAAATGTCTGTACTTATGCCCTCTTGTTCTCAAAGGATGTAGATTAAAACTGCAGATCTTCTTGGAGAAATAAACAAAAACGTCCGATTTGTAACATCCGTTACCGGTAACGGAAGTTACACCTGTAGCGGAAAAGACGTAACAAGAGATTGAATTTCCCTTCCCTACGCACCATAAACATAATAGTTGGAAATAAAGTAGAAAAAATATGGATCCGAAGAAAAATAACCCTCTGTGGCGTCAACAAACTCAAATGTTCTACTCTTCTTTGCTTCCAAAGGTATTTTTTGCTACTTCTATACACTACACTTAGCTATCTTTATGTGTTCGATACGTGTATATTTACTAGCAAATAATGGGTTGACAGAAGTACTTTCATAGATACTGACGCCTAAACTAATGGTTTTTGAAGTGATGTCATGAATACAAGCTTTATCGTACACCCAATTCATGCTGATGTTCCAGCGTTTTTGCAGCACTAAAAATTGCATTGTTTACATATGTCTTATCTAAGTGCATAAATTTTCGGTAACTTCCAATGGCAATTAAGCTGTCCTTTTTTGGTAATCATTAATTGAGATGTTTTCCTAAAAAATAAGATAGGTGTGCCTGAAAAAACAGATCATCGATTTTTCGACCCCAAAAATCACCATTTTGTACATTTCAATGAGAACGAGCCTAATATAGCGTAGAAAAATTCTGGCAGTTTTACCAGGTGATACCAAAAACAAAACTTGCACAGTCACACCAAAAGATATCAAAGTAATATCAACTATGATCATATTTGACAACATACAAAGGAAATTTAGCTTTAGGAAGAGCTACTCTTCCACTGGTCGTGGCAGAGAAGACAGATGCTATGTACAGTATTTATATGTTCATTGTACCCAGCTCTTTTTGACAAGCATAATGATCAGTGGACCCTAGCTTGATGTCCTGTCTGAAGAACTGCTACCCTTAACAGTAGTGTGCATGTTGGGTGATTGACAACAACCAGGATTCAAACTCCAAACCTCAATCATCCAAAGACATGGTTGCTAACCACTGGACTGCATATGCTACATCTTAACATCCCACTGTAGACTGACCTGTACCATGAGTAGAGCCAGGTAGGCCAGTCTTAGTAAGGCAGTTATTTTTCCCTGTGGTGAGGTGGAGACCTGAAGACTCTGTCTGTAACACATCTCTGCTGCCACTGTCATGCCCTGGGTCTGGTAAACTGATGACAGGAGCTGGAAAAGATGTCACCCACATTACCTCGTACATCAAATAATTATGAATCTATTGGCAAGCTTTCTAACTTAAATAGCTATGATAAATCAATAACAAGTTTATTACAATTTCTTTTTGTGATTTACAAACAACTGAAGATTAGCCAAACCGTTAAGGTGCCTTAAGGCATAAATCCAGTTTTGTACAGCAGGTACAAACTGTCTACAAAAAAGTCCGGACTGTAAGGTTTGAACCACTCACACTGGGAAAGACCCCTCAGGCTCTCAATCCACTTGTAATCTGTAAAACTCTACTGTACATACATATGTATAATGTTTTAAAGTAGGGCTTCTTACTTCTAGTTTTCTTCCATACAATTCTAATGCTTTCCCAAACTTAACCAAACAGAACATTTAACATATACAGGAACATCTTCATCTTCATCTTTGCTGGGGCTCAAAGATGTTATGTGAGCCCCGGCTACACCCCCATATAGCCCCTGATGGGGCACTTAAGGGGGATCTGATCTACATACAATGTAGATCAGTATTACATACCTGCCAGGCCATCGCTGTTTGGTTTGACAGCACTGCTGATCTCAGCTGTTCCACAGAACCTACAGGTTGTCCAGCTGTGACCTTCACAGCAATGTCAGCCATGGCACTGAGGGTGTGGAGGGGTGGGTAGGGTGTACTCTCCTGCAGAATGAAAACATATCTCAATCAGCTACGGGTCGATCTTTCCGGCACTTGGGATTTGGCACTCCCAGCCCCGAGGACAGACAACACTTAAGCTCCTGTCCTGTATAACAGGAGCTTTCAGACTAATTTGCATCATCTTGTCTTGACTTGTCTGACTTTTGTTCCTTTTTCGACTTCCAAAATTTGTCTTCACTTTATTTGCATATCAATCAACAGGTTGTGTATATAAACCTGCTTTCCCCTCTGGTCTCTCAGTCACTGACGAAAGCTAGTGGATACTAGCTGAAACGTCTGACGTTTTCAAAATCATATCCAGTTGCTTGAGTAACTGTTTTTTGGCATATCTCAATCAAGATGTAATCTGTACTGAGCTACATTTGGGAGTCATAACATGAAGGATGAATGCTATGCATATCATACATGAACTTATTCAATGCACCGACTACATTTACAAATGGCCCACATCAGCAGCGTAAAAGAATTTAATCCAGAAAAATGCTTAAGTAGAAGCTTGAAGGTCATTCAGCACTAAGTACATATCCAAAGTGCACATGTCATTTAGCAGTAGGGAAACTGGTGCAGATGTTATTCAGCACCGGGGAGTCATGCTCTATTGAATATGAGGTGATTTGTTCAGCACCAAGGACAGGCATGGCCATGTGTCATTCAGCACCAAGGACAGGTGCTGTCATGAATGAATACTAGATGGATATTAAACATAGAAAAAGACAGACAGACAAAATGACCCAAATATAAACAAACTGACAGACATAAATATAGACAGACACAGTACCTTGTCACAAGCTCTCTTAGCTTCCTCAAACCTCCCCAGCTCCA